AGAGCCCTCTATTATTGGTGCATGAGTGTGTGTGGGGCTGAGAGTGCCGCAACCGGAGTCAGACCATGGGTCAGCAGGCCCAGATGTTCATGCTGCCAGAGACTGGAAAGAGTGTGTGTGGGGTCTGTGAGTAAGTGTGTGATCAGTAGCAATGGGCCTTGCCAGCAATACATCTGCAGCCTTGCTACTGACTGAATCTAGGAACAAGCAGAGGCAGCAGCCTCATCTCTCTCAGGCTGTTGGATCCAGAATGGTAGATTTTCCTCTAACAGAATTCTTAGTTTACCATCTGACAAAATACCTGGGAAGACTGCTGTTCTACCACCTGACACAAGGAAAAGTCTTTCAAAAACAGGCTAGCTCCCTTCCTTTCTCCTGCATTCAAGTGTAGCAGCAGCACGAGGCCAGAGCAGCACACTGAGTCTGAGACTATTCAAAGGTGAGACCATTCTCACAGCTGGGCTGTACAGATGCTACAGACACCAGCTTTGCCTTCACCACTACAATATGACATACTAATGACTTGTCATTTCTCAGGCTGCATAAGTATTCATTTCTTCATGATTATGTTTAAATGGAGTTAGCAGATATTAGAGTCACAAATATGATGTGTATGTTTAATCATACCACTTCACTTTCAAAATAATGTTTTCATGTTAGAGTACTATTAAGCTTTTATTAAAATGACAGCAATATCACTAGGAATCAGATAAGTGCACTTGGTTTTACAACATTTTGATTAGATTAGAGTTAGCACGGCTTCCTATTTACGTGTGATGATACAGAAAAAAGAAAACTTTAAACCTCTCCCAGAAAGTTACACATCATAGATTCATATTTTATGCTGTTACAGGGACACTAACTAAAATGAAACATTAACACTGAATAAGGCACTAAATATATCAAGCATGGCAACTGAGATGGGAAAATCAATCTCATATTGTAGCTGTCTTCTATTGTAAAAGACTGGTCCAAAATTACTGGATTTGAAACAACATGTTAACTGTGGGACCTCACAGAGACACAGGATTATCTGTGTAGTAATGACTGGAATGTGATTTTTCATTCTCTTCCATTTGTGCCTTTAGCAACAGGTAGGAGAAGAGGATCAGGATTTTCTGAGGTATCACAAGTGACAGGAAAATAGGTGATGGCTTGTCTGGCATGCTTTAGTGAGAAGATAAGGCCTCGTTATGAAATAACAAGTGATAAGACAGAAGTATTCACTGTCCCAAGCAACTACTTTTGAAAGATCAAACCCCACAAAGAGCTAGTGTCAAAGTATGTGACTGTAACTATTGACATGCCACATAAAAGGCTTGTGAGAAGGAGAGAGAACTAGGCCAAGAAAAAAATACATGTAGTATCCCAGAAAGAATAGAGTGAAAACACCTCCAAAAGCTAACAAATCTGTAGCACATACAGCTCTGTCCTCCACACTTAATATTGGGTAGAATACTGAAAACCATCCCCATCTGACCTTTTATAAAGTGGGATCACTGGAAAGGAAATAAGAAAATTAAGGACTAGATACCTTTGAAAAAATGAAGAAAAATCAGAGCACTAGATACAACACAAACTATAAAACTATCACAACTTTAACTTTCTTTAGAGTGAACCATGCATTTTAAGAAAAACTTTACAGGAGATGGACGACTTTATTTAGGAAATCCTATTTTAAAACCCAAAATATATGTAGGTAAATATATAAAGGTATTTAGACTACACCTATTTTCCCCATAACTCCAACCAACAAAATTGTGCTAACCATTATGTTTGCATTGTGTTGAAGAATCACTCAATGCACCTTCAAACAGTTTCTTTGGAGATCCTGGTCCTGCTTTTAGTTGTGCTGATTTCACACTCAAAGGAAAAGATAGTTACTATACAGTTACATATGTGTGAGCAACAGCACTGTTGTGTCCTAAATTCAAACTCTGTCGGTGTGGAGAAACAGATAAGATCAGTTTAGGTATCTTCAAAAGTGAAAGGAAAGGATGAGATGAGTATTAAAATAAATACAGAGACAGCAAAAAAAGTTCCAGTACTAGGAAAGTATGGAAGTCTGCCATTTCAGAATTGTGAAATATAATAGTGACGAGACAGAGAGAGAGGGTAAGATGAAATGATGGAAAACAGTATTTTGCATCAGATATATGACAATCCAAGATACGTAAGACAATAACACTCAATGCTTTCAATGAAAATTAAGAGCAAGTACATTGAAAATTAAAGGCTTACCTGGGTCAGTATGTTAGACTCCTCTCAAATAGCATGAGCTTCAGTGCTTGAAGTGGTAGGCTCTTAACCTACATGTTCCACGAAACCCCAAAAGTACAGCTCTGTTTACCTTTAAAACCATGCACCGGGTCCCTTCTGTTCAGTTAGCAGTGGTGACTGCTTGACCTGAAACTCTTTAAATGATTGGGAATCCCATTTGTCTAGTTACTTTAAAACACTTCTGCTCATTTCAACAGACCCTAGCAGACTCATGTTTGTGGATAACTCCCTCTGCACAAGTAAATGTCAGTGTGCCTGCAGGAGCAGTTACGGTGATATTAGGTCTGCTTCTGCCCAACCATATTTTATTCATCCACGGGTAAAGTTTTTCACCAATTCCCAGTAGGTTCCCTTCTAGAAAGCAGGACAGCTGACCTGAGTAATTGCAACAGGCAGCAAAAACACAAGGTGTTGGAGGGACTAGAAGTAGGGTTGCTCATTTTCAGCAAAGTATGATAAAAATAAATTAGGAAGATCCAAAGTGCTTTAACTAAATAAATAAATAAATGAAAACCTTCAGGGGAAGACTACTGAAAAATGCAACAGGCTCAACTATTAAAAATGCATGGTAGCAAAATGATTCAAGATGTTTTCATGCTTATGAGGAAACCAACAAAAGCATTGAATTCAGACTATCTTCCCACTGCTCTGATTATAGGATTCTCTTTTCCCTCTTTTTTTTTTGAATGTTTCTTTCAATCAGTGCTAGATTTTTATTTCATGAAAACCAGACCATTGCTACTTGCTACTCAAGCTGATTTCCCACCTGAAGACAGACTTCCATAGCTCAGCTTTTAACAGCCAGCTGTCATGAAAAGTTGAAGATGTTAACAAAAACATCAGATTGTTGTCCAGTACTAGAGGAACTGATATGGATCCTCAGATGACACACATCAAGAAGAAGTGTGGTGCAAGTGTTTTGATAGAGTTACTCAGAGGTGGCTGAGCAGCAAAAGCATATGAAGTCTCAGGAAGCAAAAGATCCTATTTTTATGGAAATGTCCCCAGCATTACTGGGTAAAATCTGGCAATCTCAGCTACTAGATTCAAGACACTTTTTCCTATTGCACATTCTGTCTTGAAATATAGTGTGAAGACTTCAAAGAGCAAAAGGAATGCAACAAGACCTGTCAAGATTTGTCATACACTGGTTGATCCCACTTGTAGCAGTTTAATCCCACACAACAACTAAGTACCATGCACCTGCTTGCTTACACCTCTCCTCCCCTCAGTGGGATGAAGAGGAAAATCAGAAAAAGGTAAACCCCATGGATTGAGATAATAGTTTAATAATTTAAATGAAGTAAATGATCATAAACAAGCTCCTGTGGCACATCAGGCCTGTTCCCCTTGGAACAGGCTCCTAGGGATCACTTCCCAAGACTGAAAAACTAATTGTTTGCTGTTATTGAAAAGCAGGGTCTCAATCAGCTGGCACTGACGAGGAGGGGAATCTGAATCTATTGCCTGATTAGGTGTGTATTTTTTTTCCTATTTGCAACCACGGATAACCTTTTAAATTCTACAAATACTATACACGTAGGAAAAAAAACCAAAGAAATTCTGTCTGCTGTCTAACGCTACAAATCTATTCTTAGATCCAAATTATGGCAAATCTGTTAAGAAACTGCTTTAGAATAAGATTCTTGGTGCTACTACAATTGGCTTTACTACTTGAAAGCTCTGTGTTTCTTTTGGGGGTGCAACACACTTCTGCTAGCTTGGATGCAGCTCAGTGATGAGGGAAAAGGCCACAGCCTCTAGAAAACACATGGACCATCCTTGCTTTTTAATCCCTCATAGCATTTCCACAGTGATGTTTAGTCTTCCATAAATACTTACACATAAAATGCAATACCGAGGATCTGCCAGTTCAGGAATCTGGTTACAAGTAAGACAAGCCTCAAAGCACACTTTAGAGATAAACAGCTCCATTCTCTGGGAAGTGCTTTTTACTTTGAGGCCTACATCAACTTTGATCAGTTCTTTGAAGTAGAGCAGAAAAGATTTGGCTTGCTCAGTCAATCTAGAATGGGATATGATCTTTCGCTATTATTTTTCACAAAGATTTTATAATCCTTCCCCCCTACTTCTATAGATTGAAAGGAATTTTCAGGGACCCAAAGATTCAGATGGAATTTATTATAGAAACCTAGGAGTAGCAAATTATATATATATATAAATATAATATACTCAAAATGTAAGATCTAATTTTTCCTTATTCTATACCCAAATAAAATTACTTTGAATAAATATCAGGTTAAGTTGTTGCCATTCTGTAATAAAGTGAGAGTTTGAAGATTGCTTTGTTTTGTTTTGGTTTTAAATATGCATGCCTTTTTGTAGTGGAGAAGTGCATACAGTACCTGTTGTTATTCTTATGTGGTTCTTTAAAAGTTTTCATAAAGACAACAGGTTACCAGTGAAATATAATATCAGCTCATCAGGTTCCGCAGGTGCTCTTCTGCAAAGCTATGAAATAACAGTTCATCCCCTTCTCGGAGAAACCTAATACAAAATTTTCACATACAATCATCTTAAGGTCTTCCCTCCTCCCCCTCCAGCTTCATATCCCACCCAACCCTTCAATTTAAGAAGATTTTTTTGAAAGAAAAGAAAAAGAAAAGGAAAATAAAAACAGCTTATAAAACAGCAAAGAAAATAAAGTTATTTTAATATATATAGAAAGAGAACAAAATGAAACTTGAGGGAAAACTTACTGGCGTTACAGTTTATCCTGATACAGTCTAGATGGGGAAAAATAAATGAAAGATGAAATTGCATCCTTCAAGGTAACAGCTGCAGACATCCAAAAACAATCAGTCCACCCTTCCGGGGACAGACACACGCAAAGAGATGTGGCCATTTTATACTTATATACAGTCTGTACAAGTTCAGGAGTGGGTGTATATGTACAGTATATTCTATGTAAATATCTGTTACATAAATATATATATATAGAGACATATATATATATACATATGTATAGAGAAATATACCAATATACATATATATCCACATGTTGACACAGAAAGTTCTTGCCTTTTTATAGAAACCTACACATCTAAGAGTATCTTCCACTCCAGACCATGTACTGATGTGAATTACAATAAAAAAATTTATAATTAAGGCATAAAAATCTCCCTCAAAACACAAGTCATACTCCAGTGTCATTTTGCTTTTTAGAAACCTTTAGCAATTTCTCTAAGAAGCTTGAAGCTCAAAATCAACCTTTACACTTGGTTTCTTTTGAATTAATTCGTATTGTTATTGCATAAATACACCATCTGTCAACACAGAATACCTGTAAAATCAGCCTATGAGATTTGTTGGTGCAATATTTAACCCTTTCCAGCTCTCCCAAAGACAGACCCTCTTCTCATTCCCCAGTGGCCAGCCCAGAACACTTTTTATGTGCACAGACACATTTGACACTGTCCGCTCAGGTGAGGAAAGGGTTAATATACTGCCCAGTTGTGTCCTATCATAAAATGGCCACTTGCAAACAGCTAACCGCACGAACGCCCAGCCCAGATTTCAGCTAGTTCTGGAGGTTGGCAATACTTTTTTTTGGGCTTGGCAGGGAGAACGGGGATTTCTTCCAAAGGTCCCCAGCCCTGCCAGTTCCTCAGAGCCCAGTCTCATCTTGCTGTCTGAACGCTAAGACTGAATGGAGTGTTTGTAACGTTCAGGGAGAAGATGAAATGGGCAGTGAAGTGGCAGATCTGGGAACCTTTGCTGGCCCTGCTTCATTCAGAGGTTACAGGTAAGGAAGGGATAAAGACAGGTACATGGAAAGAAAAATAGAGTTATGCTTGTAGAATCTAAGAAATGGTAATTGAAGAGAAAGCAAGCTGAGGTAGGAAGAGCCTGAGCTAGAGGGCTTCTGAGCATTGCTTCTCTCATTTAACACACTAATGCTCAGCATATCTCAAGTTATGATCCAGAAGAGGATCTTTCATTTATAAATGCCTACTTACTTGTGAACATCCATTGCTGTGGTGTCTAATGTGGGTGACAGCTATTGTATCAGTGCTATTACATATCTTGGTATGCTGACCTTCTCTCATGAAACCAAGGCCATGAATAATAGCACCATGCTAGTGGGCACTCTATCTGGACAAGTAATGCTTTAACCAGCAGAAATGGTCATATTTATTAAAGAGATATGGCCCAGAAAGGGAGATTATACAGAATGGCAGAGAAATATAAGGCAGTTTGCTTCTTAATTGGACCAATTTTATGTTTACTTATACAAATGTAGGAAAAATATTTCAGCAGCTGACACTGAATGCAGTTCCTAAAAAATAAAGGAGGGGAAAGAATAAGAGTCTATAAATAATAAATAAAGAGCTGTAATGAGCACTGTAATGACTGGGACACACCACCAATCAGGAGTAACATAGCCAGAGAGAGTCTGTTTTCAAGCAGAACTTCTCCTAAGAAAATCTGGGTTTGGTTTTGTGCGATTAGGTTTGTCATGTGTCGTCAACCGCAACAGAAAAGTGGGAGCAAACAGCCCTGGAGCAATTGCTACGATCACCATACAGTGGTGGCTATATCCCTTAGAGGAGTTGGGTGGGGTAAGGGGAGCTCTATAGTACATGCAGGGGAGCTTCCTTCTATGACCTGATGGAGACTGACAGCAAGAGAGACTCCCAAGTCTCATTTCAAGCGAGGTCAAGAGAGTTGCTACAGCTGGAACAACATGGGAATTTCTTACGGGCTAAAGAGTGTGCTGGAAAGGGAAACACGGCTGGTCCACAGCAACATTCATCCAAGTTAGAGGCTAAAACCATTGCTGTGTTATTGATGTCTGCAGAGAAGTTTTGCCTTTTTTTTTTTTTTTTTGGCAGCAATACCAAAATGTCCTGGGTCTTACCCACAGGCTCAGCCACTATTCCAGGTGAAAGGATAGATGTTTCAAACTGAAAACCAGTGTAGCCTTTATCCTGACTGCAAGACTTCTATTTCAAATTATTAAAGACCAGGCCACTGAGGGGACTGCCCTGACAACTACACAGTGCTATTATATCTCCAGAATGGGAGCAGGAAGGCTCTGCAATGCCATGCAATCGGGTGCCAGGCAGAAATGCTCAGGTGCACTCCAAAGGAACCAGCTCCTGAACGAGATTTAATGCAGCTGGGTCAGTGGGGATCCTGCATGGCAGGTAAGAGAGTGCATCTGCTTGCACTGCTACACCAGCATTACCATACCCTCCACACTACCATCAAAGAACACGCACAGGGTTTTTGTTCATTTCCTTAATTCCAAGTCTTGCCCAAAGCAACTCAGAAATTTCCCACCATTAATACATGAAGCTGTTCTCTCCCTCTTAAATCAGTTTTTAAAAGGGAGGAAAACACCTATTTTCCTCTAAACCAGTACAGTGGTACAAATCCAAAGCAGAGGAGATTTTTCCTGGTAGTAAGGGTGCAGGTTTACTTCGGTCTTTGTGCCTAAAACAGCAGCATCTGGTTAATTCTGGAATAATTAAAAAAAAAGTGCTTGAGATTCCTCCTGCACAGTACTAGGACTTAGGGTAATCATCATCTAGGGCACTCAGCCCTCTTATCAGTTTCCAATGATGAGGTAAGTTTTGAAGAGGAGTATGTCTAAACAGCTGCAAATCCAGTCATCTGTAAGTTCAGCAACTGGATGAGGACAGCAGTGAAGTGAAAACAGTCTGTAACTGCATGGGGAATAGGTAGCTGGGAAGACCTTTTGCAGTTACTTTCATTATTTTTCTGATGTAAACCAGAAACTCCTTCCTTACTGCTGAGATGGAGCATTTTCCAGAGCATATCACCTGGAAACTGAGCCAAAGACCCTCTCCTTGCAAAAGGTTAAATAGTTCCACTGCAATTAACTAACACTAATTCATTGTTTGAATGGAAGTATCTTTACTAGCAAACAGAAGTATCTGCGACTTAGGCCTGTGTTTCTTACCATTTATATCTTTGTCTCTGAAAATAGTGATATTTATTTGACATTGCTAAGGCTCCAGGCCATTTTATCCTTGAATCAGGAAAGAAAGTCACCTCTGCTGTGTGAGGACAAAATGTTTGTTCCTTTGGATAAGCAGCCATATGGGCTATGGAAGAGTACTTTAAGGCAAGAATAGAACAAAAGAGATAATCGGGGCCCGACTGTTTCTAGACTCACTCTAGGTTATCTCCTGTGGGGAAACCAGATAAAGTCCCATGCACACTCTTACCCCATGTCACATTGAGGTTTCTTGCCTCTCTTCTACTTGCACTATTTGTATGGAGAAATTACAAAAATACTTTTCATTTTGGAGGGGCAAAAGTGTCTCTGACACCCTTGAGGATATATCTTAGGAAAAGGTAGGCGAGAGGGATGGTTACACTTCCTTACATCAGAGGAAGCAGGAAATATTTATCCTAGTCACCAGTGATCTGAAGATATGCCAGGGCAGGAAGAAAAAAACCTGAAATATTCTTAAATAAAAGTCAGTATAACACTAACCCTCCAACTTAACAGTGGGAGGAAAAATGTGAAGGTGGATTTCCCTATCAGACCAGCCATTTCTTTCTCTTTCTGTACATCATCTCAGCATCAGAAATTATTCCCAAGTATGTTCCAAGCCATGATTTACTTAATTTCTCTCTCTCTCCTTCCACTCCATACCCATTTCTTCAAAGTCCTTCTCAGTAGAAGTGAGATATATATCACATTTGGATTTCTATTCTTCACACAACAAACACTCAAACTACTGAGAGACATGCTGTCAACATGCAGATTTGCAGTGCCTTGGGCACTCACACTGGAAAGGTATGAAACAACTTCCTTGCCCTCTTCCTCAGAGAATTATTCATTACTGCTCTTCCTTTGCCTCCCACCTTCCTCAGCAAGCACCCAGCTGCCCATGCCCACCCATGCCTGCTGGACTATCTCTCTCTCCCCTGTTTGGTTTGGACACTGAATGTTGAGGGGGTGAGTGGGATATGCCAGCCCCTGCAGGCTGCTCCGTATGCTCTGTTCTCAGGGCTGTTTGCTGTGCGGGCCGCAGGCTTCAGGCCTTTGAAGGGTCGAATACCATCTTTTGATTTACCATGGCTGATGGGGTATGGGAAAGCTCTACAACTGAAATACACAGAAGAGTTTAAAAAAAAAAAAGAAGAAAAGAAATAAAAAAAACAACGTAGGAATACCTTAATAAACATATAAATGATAATAAGTAATCAAATGGAATAGATCAAAGAAGAGAAGAGACAGCTCTTAGTAATAGTATTAAATGACTTATAAGAAAACCACAATTAAATAACTCACCACTCAAAACAGTCTTTGTTTACACATATCTGTCTTGGGTTAGATGCTCAGGGGATGCTGACACCGAGCATACTCAGGTCTTCAAAGGTGGTGCTGATGACTGTTTCTCATTGGTAACAGGAGTTTGGCAAGGTCAGATAAAGATTTGGTTCTTGTTTGTGACATTTGGGTAATGAATAGTCTCCTTACAGAGTTAGACGTGACTTAGATTAAACAACTGGAAATGAATGGCTCTGGTAAGGTCATTCCTCCTCAAATTCTGTTTCTTCAGCAGCAAGGTAACTGTGCTGTTTTGATAGAAGGAAAGTCCTGTTTCAAGGAAATTATCTCACAGCTTTATAAATCTGAAGAGAGGAGAGGTGGAGCTCAATCTGGGTTCCAACAGTCTAAACTACCCTTTTGCTGAGTGCTCACTTCTAGGAGAGTGCTCACAGGTTTCCCCTGCTGCACCCTGTAGTCAACGTTGGGGAAAAATCAACCTCCCAAAAGTTTCCAGCTGAAAAGTTAGCAAATCTGACATACACATTGCTTCAGTCCCTGCAACTACACAAAAATAGCCTTCAGTTGACACAGGAGTTTGTTTACAGATTTTGTCCCTGCATTAAACTGTCAACAACACATCTCTTTCCAAATATGTGTAGACCATCTGTCAAATCTTTAGCTACATCTTTTAGATGCCAGACAGTAAGAGTTGAACAGTCCACCTCTAGGCTAGGTGACTGGGGTCTGGCATAACAGACCCCAGTGAGTGGTACAAGTGACCAGTGCCAACCAGGCAAACAATGTTGACAGGCCCTGAGGCAAAATATTGTCTGCCAGCATGATATACTGAAAACTGGAAAGGAAAGAGTAAACTGTAAAAAAATGATAAGTATTCAGGGTAATCTAAATCTACCCTCCTCATATTCACATAGGGTCTACCTCTAGGAGGCCCTAAACGTCCAAAATTCCTCTTAGTCTCATTCATTCTTAAGATGAATAAATAACAGAATCAAATAAGTGGTATCTTCTTCAGTAGAAAAAGTGATAATTTTGTGATGAAGTCTGGCAGTTTTCAAGCTGTAGTACTTATCATGTAGGAGTATCAAAGGTGATAAAAGCAGCTCTTATTAAAATACTAGCACATCCCTTGCAGGTTGCAAAGAATTCTCTTTTGAGCAAAGAGAGAAACTAAGGCATAAAAGTAAAAGAACTGGCTCTGCGTTACAAGAGGATAGTGCAGAGCTAAGCAGATACTCAGCTCCCCATCACTTTCCCAACAGAAGCAGGCCACTACCAATCTTTCAGCAACTAATTTTATTTTCTGAGAAAAAAATAGCTAGCAATAATTTTCAAGAAAGGAAACAGTGGTGAAAAAATAATCTTATTTTTTCTTTATTATTAGCAGTAACTGATTAGATCAGAAGAAAATGCAGAAACAAACGCTCTGGAGCTCTCTTTGCACATGTAAGAATGTTACATTCTTATGAGCTGTTCTCCAGGCACACCATGTGAATCTATGAAATTTTCCTCCATTTAAAGTTAATATAGGCCGAGATGGCTATTATCAGAGTGCTGTTTCTCTTTATTTGAGAAGTTACTGTCATAGCTGAAGTTCATCTATTCCATTTGTCCTCTAGGCCAGTCTGGATAGCACAGCAAGTGCTTTTATATTAGCTAAACACTCAATATTGCTTTACATTTCTTTGGTCAAGCTAAGCAGAGCAAATATGCAATATTTTTTTTTTTACTAAAAACGAAGAGTTTCTATAGACCTTTAGATAGACCTTTCTATAGACCTTGGCTTTTAAGAGATATGAACTTGTTTGATGCATCTTCTTCTCTTACTTTCTTATTCCAAAAGCAAATATTAATGGTCTGGCTTGCAATTTCAAAGCCAAAAAAAACACCAGATGAAATTTTAAAAAACAAGCTAGTTCCAGAGGATAACTGCTGGACAACATACTCTACAAAGCCACTACATGGTTTTCTCCTGATAACACTACAGCAGGGCTTTGAAGACGCTGATACCGTTAGGTAAAAAAATGCAGAAGTTTGTTCCAGTGGGGCTTAGAATTTTGAAAACTGACACAAGCTTTCACAGACCATACAGACATCTTCATATAGAATACCCTACACATTAGAAGAGCTCTAACATTACACACTGTCATGTTAGTTTTGTCTCTGAGTCAGAACCTCTTCTTAGTTAGATTGCTGAATACACATGAAGTAACAAGTTGCATCACTGAAAAGTGAAAGAAAGCTTCAACTCATGTATTTACATTATTTAGAGAGGCTATTTTTCATTCAGTAGAGTACTTAAAGACTGTCAAGAAAATGAATTGAGGCTAATCTAATAGCACATTCACTCCCAATTGTTTTTTCATTGTTGTTATTATAGGACTTGTTTCCAATTGTCTTTTTTAATTATTTTCTGGGAAAGCGTAACTCTGAGGAGACAGAACAGAATTCTTTGGGATGAGGGAATGCATTTTTATTATTGTTACCTTCTTTTTAATAAAGACACAATAAAAAAAACAAAACAGGTTTTTATATTGAAATGTAAAATATGCCAAGCTGTATCAAATGCTGTCAAATTATGTAAAGGGCAGGGGATTCACAGGACTTCTGCTTCCCACCATATCCATTTTGCTTCCTTTCTCTGTTCACCTCTGACTGTTTTGAGTGATGCTGGATGAATGAGGGATGTAACTGATCAAAAGATGGACCAAGCAGCATGTCTCACACAGAGCTCACCAGTCCCAGATCAAGAAAGGAAACTTAAAAACTTTAAGACTTAAAAACCAACACTGTCCATAACGAAGAACTGACAGCAAATCTTCATGCAGCAATGCAGAAGAGAATTTCTTTCCGCAAGATTATATAATTAAGAAGGTCTCAGCAGTTATTTTAGAAATCAATCCAATCCAATCAAACCAACAGAAATTAAATAAAATTATTTTAAAAAACCACTAATCACAAGCCCAAACTAATAATGAAGAGGGCAACAGAAGGTTTTTATACGATACCTAAATTGACCATAAGTTTGACACGGCCTCCGTCCAGCTCCAGGCGCAGAGTGTCAGCAGAGTCTCGTGAGGTGGTTGCCATCAACAGCCCATAAGCACGTTGGGACATGAAACGAAAGGACACATCTTCTGCTTCCGTGTGCATAACCATAGGCATGATGATCTTCATGTACATGCTGCCATCATAGCTCAGTATAGAGGCCTCTGCAAGGAATCAGCAAACAATTGCAAAAAATGAAAAGAAGTTACACCTCTGTGTGACCTTCACACCTGAAGAACTTTGACATCTATCACAGAGCGCTGCGTCTACAGAAATCATACCACTTGCCACAGAAAGATATGTAACTGGGGAAAAATGCAACAACTGTTTAACTGCATCCAGAAACCTTACATGGCAAGCATGAGCAGAAACAAAGATATGGTGCTCACCACAACTGGAGTCAGCAGTACCCATGGACACATAATGCCCAAGGACAAGCATGTTAGCACAGGGCCCTTTTGTGATTATGAGCTAGCAAAGCCTCTGTTTTTCACATCTTCCAAAAAATGCAATCTCCTTCACTGTTCTGAAGTCCAGCCTTCCACAGGAATAGTTGTAATGACTAGAGTTCCGATTTCTGGTATTCTTACTGTTGCTTATTGAGAGAGGAATTTAATTTCATTGCTACCACTTTAAAGAAAAACAACTGTATAAAGTGACTTTCCTAGCAGGTCTTTTCTACATCAGATTTGTTCTGTTTTGTGATTTTATATTTTTCCACTCTTTACTAACAAGCAACATTAGTAGAGCTCTGCTGACACAACTGATACAAATGGAGAAAGGAACAAACCAAACACCACTGCAAGTTTAAGTGTCATTCAAACACAAACTTAGGAGATGGAGGCCCAATGAAAGCCAGGAGGAGGAACAAAAAAAAAACACCAAAAAACAAACAACAAATCAGTCAAGAAAGAAATTACATTTTTCTATCATCTCTGAGGATGTCAAAGAAAATGGGAAGTTCAGCTGAGGGAAGGAGTTATAATACTTAGCATTCTCTATTTGTTCAGTCTTGCTTGCAGAAAGTGATATTCTCCTCTAAGGAGGGTAGAATTAAAGTCTTGTGACAGAACTGCAGCAAGCACTGCAGCATGGCAATCATTGTTTCAATCCGGGAGTATGCTGAGAAGCATTTTTACCTCCAAAATTTACAAATCTATATAAATATATTAATATATGAATCAGAGCATTCCTTTTCACCACAGCCAACCCCTACCAAAGGCAGGGTTGTAGAGATTGCTCTGTGCAGGGGTTCTACCACAAACCTACATGTAAAAATCCCAGAGGTTTTGAAAAAAATAGACGAGTTAGCTCCCTAAGCACCTGGAAGGATTGCTCCATAAAGCACTTCTACCAGTGTCTCATCTAGCTCAGTTCAGCTAAAGTTTTTTCAAATGATTGACTGGGATTCTCATCACACACACCCCAGAAAGCTAACAGCCCATCTAATTGAAACAATTGCAGCAACGTATTGGAATCCGGATATTCTCTTTATGTTTCACTCCTTTGTCCCATATTTCCCAGCTGATAGGAGCAGAACTTCTAGCAGGAAACAGCAAGCTTGGCAGAGCGAAACCTTACACCTTCTCAATGTTTTAATGTTAGATGCTAGAGTAGGGTAGACGGATGAGAAACTGAGGAACAGCCAAATGTCCACGCTGTAAAAGATCCGTGGTTGGCTCCACAATGGCCAGTAACAGAATTGCAATGCAATAAATATGCAAATGAGGTGATAAATAAAGACATAAATATCAAGCTGATAAAGTGACATAGGAGATGTTTATATGGTTCCAAAACATTTGGAGGAGATCACTATGGTTGTGCTGGTGCAGCGACCCACCGCACTAACAGTTGGTATGCAGAACCTCTCCAGTCACAGGACTTACAAACACATTAGGAAGAAAACGTTTCTGGAAGCATCATTAAGATGTCTGTGAACAGCATCCATATTCACCAGTTTTCCTAGCTGGACTCCCCACACACTGTCATGGTCTGTACACAGAAAGCTCTCTATGCACATCACCCACTCAGCCATTACATACACCTTCTGGGTACCAGCTGTCAGTGCTGCCCTGGGGACTCACATCTTCATTCGGCCAAGAAACCTTTTTCAAGGTGGGAGAATAGTTTCTTCTTTTCAAAGTGCAATTCTCTTCCCCCTCACGTCTGCACCTCTTACTTGCCACCCACAACTGCAAGCTGGAACTAAATGTACTGTACATTCAAAGGCAATGCCTATGTACACACAAACCTTCCTTGCTCTCTTTCCTCTCTCTGTGCAGATTGTATTAGAAAATGCAGTCAAGCATGAAATGGCTCTTTTGACGCCTTCAGCTCAGATGTGCCTTGCATGAAACAGTTGCTTGCCCTAGCACATAAATAGCTGAGAGGAGGGATATCAGGACTGTGAGTGGGAGTAGCTGACACAAGTGTCCCAGCTCTGCTGCTTTCTTCTCCACACTGCCATGCATTAGGTGCTTTGAAAACATGAGTTTTTCTGTGGACTTCAGAACAAACCAAAAGCATGTTAATAATGACACTCTTCCCTTCAATATGAATTTGTGTCCTTCAGCTTCACTGATCCCATTGTCAAATAATTACTGTCCTTAGACAAGAGATCCCAACCCTCAGTATTATACTTATGTAAGGAGGACCTGAAGAACACTCAGAATTGCTGAAGTTGACACAAAAGTCTGGACAGGATTTTAGCTGACATTCCACAGTAGCCTAAATCATGTATTACTGTCCTTCTCTGGCCAGCCTGCTACAAATAGGGGGCAATGAAACCTCGTAACAATAAGCAGATAAAATTTAATGTTACATTCTTGTTTGTGCTCCATGCTGACCTCAGCCTGGCCCAGCTCAGCCCAGCTATGCACTTGACATATTTAAAAAATAACAAGATTTCATTCTCACTTTGCAAGTATTCGCTGTCTGGAGCATCTGGGAGCCTTTCCAGCACATCTCCTTGCAAGCAGACCATTCCCTCCAGCTACAGAAACACCCCTTCAGAGGAGGGTAGCAGTCATACAAATAAAACCTATGTTCTTGTCCTGACAGTCAGTCCTCAAAGGTTGAGGAAGGCGTGTTACAGCTGAGCAACACATACAGCAAATCTGCTCAGGGTTGAATGTAACCTGGCAGCAAGTACATGACCTCAACCTCCCAGGCACCTGTGCTGGAGACTTCTGCCTGAATACAGGCATCCACTCCATTGTCCTTAGCCATCTGCAGCAATGGAACTGTAATCCTTTGTTCAGCACCATAAATACAGGCAGCAACACAATTATCTAAGTTTAAAATACATGCACATTTCTTCCACCCTTCTACTTTTTGGGTTGCTCTTATATTTGGTGTCTCACACAGACATGCACAGGAGCAATATGTGAAACTATGTTTGAGACCCCCACAGATTTGTAGAGACAAAAAGATCATGTGGCATTTATTTCTGATCCCAATGCCAGAAGCTTTGTTGCCTTAGTTTGGAGATGGCAAGTGGAAGAAGCCAGGTGCTGGTTCAAAACTGCCCTGACATAATGCCAGAAATCTCTGAAAATCAATATGTTATTAGGAGCGATTAGCTTCCCAGTCTTGTGCTCTCAGACCCTGCCAGTTATAATTTTACACTTAGCATCCAAAGGAGCAATTCACTGCTGCTTCCCCACAAGTCTCTGCATAAACCTCCTGGGGAGATGGAACAGGTGTATTCTTAGCATACAGAGAGAAAAATATTCAAGACCTCTTCATGCTTTTTCATCTGCTTTCTAACTTCTCTCTTGTATTTTTCTCCATCCTTTGCTTCTTTCCTTTCTTCTCTGTTTTATTTTTTCTGTAGTCTCCTGTTCTTCCCTGTGGTTTCTTTCCTCTGCCTTCCAGACTACAATACTGTGTAATTTCTTCCTAAAATTTTTAGAAGGGTGACAGTGCAAAAAAAAAAAAGGAAAAATATTTACCATTCATGAAAGCTGAAGTCACCAGTGACAGCAGTGCAAGGCACATGATCTTTCCTCAGCTATATTTGAGAGACCAAAAATTTCCAAGTTCTTGCAAATTCAAACATTCTTAGAATGCCTAAGGTTTGTATCCAAAAACCAGACAACTTTCCTGCAGGCATTACACAGCTCACCTCTTTCCCTCACATATCCACTAACAGACACATGGCCCTAGATAAAAATAGATTTTCTGAAAACCAAAATTACACTTTAAAACAGAAAACAAACACAAAAGTAATATCAAAAAAAAAAAAGGAAAAAGAAATTCTGATTCCTGTCCAAGTGGATTCCACACAGATGAGTTTTAACAACAGAAGCCTACCAAATAATTTGGGGAGCCCAAATGCAATCACTCAGATGGAATCTGACTAGGACCCAGGAGATAATGCTCCTTTTTTGGTGAAAAAGACATGATATGAACTTTAGGTGCTCACAAGCAGTTAGGACCTTGCACGTCATCCAGTAGGATGGGTGCCCTTGCTGCCCAGGGCTGTCCTGTCCAACCCACCCTCAGAGGTGAGCAGGACAGACCTGCAGGTGGGGGGCCAGGTCCAATCAAGAATCCAGGAAACCTCAGGGTGATGACGCAGGTCTGCAGTGAGGCCAGGAAGTCAGTCTGCTGGCCAGCGTTAAGAGCACGTGCTGCAATTGCCAGGCAGGGCCATGGTGATAGGGATGGGACATGAGCCTGGTTTTGCAGCACCCATGGCTGGGCAGGCTGTGGGTACCTGGAGGCTGGCCCTGCCACAGCATCACTGGGCAGGGGCTGATGGCCACGGGGGCTGCCATGGGATCCTGGGCCATGAGCAGGGTGGGGGAGCTCCAGGGGCCAGACATGGCCTGTTGGTGCCCTAAGGGTGCTGGTGGTACCATGCTCTGGCACTGCTTCTTGTTGACCCATAAGAAAAGTCCCTTTTTACCAAATGCGCTATAACACCTTTTGCAACAAACTGAATTTTCCCTGGATGTCTCCCACCTAGATGTCATTAGACCTCACCTTACTCAGCCTGTCAAACAGAAAAGAGCAATCTGAAGGGATGTAAATGCAATTCACTAGCACCAAGAGAGAGACAACAACAGAGAGCACAAAACCATCTTTAAATAACTGCCTGAAGAGAAACATTACCTTAGAAATAAGAATGGGTTTTATTAGTCTAGCAAAATACCCTGCA